GAGAGAGAGAGAGAGAGAGAGAGAGAATTCACAGCAGGCTCCAGGCTGTCGGCACAGAGCCCAATGCGGGGCCTGAACCCGGGAACTGCAAGGTCACGACCTGAGCCGAAGTCAGATGCTTAACCGACTGAGCCACCCAGGCACCCCTAAAGTGAAGGATTTTAAAACTCTCCAGGCTTCATAGTAAAGCACAGACACTTTTGAAAGAAAAAGTCTGTGATTTTAAAATACTGAGATGTAAGCCACATAAGTCAGTTTTCCAGGGTCCTCGATAATTTTGTAATTTCTTTCAGATTGTAAAGAGGTCCTGAGATCAAAAAGTTAGAGTACTCCTGGCTTACCATGTGGAAAATTAAACAGGTAGGAAATCCTCAGGTTGTAAAATTTGATAGTCTTTAGGGACTGCCCCTTCCTCACCCAACATGTGAGCATTCATGCAAGTTAAAAAAAAATGTGAAAAACTGGGGAAATCTTTAGCTATAAGGCGTCTTTTAGTCAACATCAAAGCATTTACACTGGAGAGACTCCACAAATGTAGGAAATCATAGGAAAATCTTCACTTGTGTCTTGCCTTTGATTAAACAGAAAAGCTCACACGGAGATTTCTATGAAGAAACCCTGTGAGGGCAGGCAGTGGGGTAAACTTGCAACTCAACCCTCTCTTTCCAGAGGACACGTTCTAAAGAGAGAATCTTAAAAAGCACTCACTGCAGAAGAACTTTCAGCATCGAAAAACTATTGGAAATGATACCTTATTTCTGTACAGTAATCCGTTCAGGAAAAGCTTCAATCGGACACATCTTATTGCATAACCTAGAACTCACGCAGGAGTCATTTTTCTCCACAAAGAAACGAGGATTAACTTAACAAGGCATCTCCAAATGGAAAAGTTGCGTCCTTATGAATCCCACCAAGTCAACAGTATTATTCAAAGGTATCCGTAAACAAGGATGTTAATGGGAGTTTGCTGGAAAGTGTTTTGAAAAGTCAGAACTAGCAAAATGCATGTAACATTAGACGCAGACACAGACATGCATTGTAGTTATAATTTTGTTAACATTTGATTCCCTCAAGAAAAGTTACAGATGGGGCGCCTGGGTGGCGCAGTTGGTTAAGCGTCCGACTTCAGCCAGGTCACGATCTCGCGGTCCGTGAGTTCGAGCCCCGCGTCGGGCTCTGGGCTGATGGCTCAGAGCCTGGAGCCTGTTTCGGATTCTGTGTCTCCCTCTCTCTCTGCCCCTCGCCTGTTCATGCTCTGTCTCTCTCTGTCCCAAAAATAAATAAACGTTGAAAAAAATTTTTTTAAAAATAAATAAATAAATAAAAATAAAATAAAAAAGAAAAGTTACAGAATGTCCACTCAGGGAACCATGGACCATTATTAAGAGCCTGCAGTTAGAGGGGATTTCCAAACAGAAGTGCCCTTGGAGCATACATGCTTGTAAGTAGACAGATTAGAACCAGAGACAAGTTTTGGTTTTGTTTGGGGGGCGGGAGGCGGTCAGACTGATAACGTATCACTTAAGTCAGACTGTACATGTGTACCTAGATGGTAATCAGAAGAATCTTTCCATGACAATATCGACCTACCGTATTAGCCTAAAGTTATAGGTGTTACTTAGTGTCGTATTAAGCGACTAATGTTTAAAACAATATGAGCCAAGTTGATGACAGAGAAATGAGGCACCATTATATCTAAACTGATGCAAAACACAATGAAGCTGCTAGATCCTTTTTGTTAGTTGCAGGATTCCATACAACCACCTGCTTTTATACAAGTGCTACGTTAGCCTAAAGGTCCACATACCTGGGGTTTCATCAGAAACAAACATCAAGTGGCCGCTGAAGACGGGGAGGGGTTGGTCTCTGAGACATCATGGCAGGATGGAATTCTTCCACAATTACAGGATTAAATGTTGGCATAAAACCTTGATTTATGCCACATTGCTTTTAATCCCCACCCCCCCACACACAAATTTTATCATCTCTAATTCAACACGTCATGCTATGTGAATATTCTAAATGTAGAAAACATTTTATCAGTACCACCATCTGCGGAGTCAAAACCATAATGGAAAGGAGGCATCAGGAAGGGTGAGAGAAGGGGAGAACAGAAGAATGCTATAGGAAACAAAGTCAATTAAGAGCAGAATTTCTAAGATTAAAAAATTCGCAGGGCGCCTGGGTGGCTCAGTGGGTTCAGCGTCCGACTTCGGCTCAGGTCATGATCTTGCCGGTCTGTGGGTTCGAGCCCTGCGTTGGGCTCTGTGCTGACAGCTCGGAGCCTGGAGCTGCTTCGGATTCTGTGTCTCCCTCTCACTCTCTGACCCTCCCCCGCCCACACGCTCTCTTTCTCAAAAATAAACACTTAAAAAAAAAAAAAAAGTTTCTTAGTTCCCTTCAAATGGATTGGCTAGGCCAAGAAAGAAAATTCTCCCAACTCCTTTTTCAACAAGTATTTCAGGACTGTCAATTAACGTTTGACTTTATTACAGTCTTTCTGAATAAAACAAAATGTTGAGTTTTAGTATCAGAAAGTTTTTACTTATCTTTATTCTTCAAACTTCGTATCAAGTTACAAATGAATAGTCTGTACCATGAAGCCATGTTGCTTATGATGTACACTTCCCTGGGCGGAAAACAGCAATAACCAAGAATACACAGAAAATGAACTCGCAGTGAAGAACCAACTGTTAAGTATAGAGAAAGGACACATTACATTTCAGCGTGGCCCAATACGTATACTGTTTGTTAAAAGTGAATCCCCTTTAAAACATCACCGATGTACCTAATACTCTTACAAAAGAAAACTCACACACAGAGAGGTTTTTTTTTTTTTTTTTTTTGTCGTTTTAAAGTTGTATCACAGGGAGTAACTGCTTAAAAACTGTAAAATGTTGTGATTTTACCAGCAAAAAGTTACTCCAGGATAATCTTTTTTTTTAAACATGGCTGAAAAAATTGCAAGCTTTAGAGAACACCATGCATATCAGATCCGTTACTTAAAAACAAGCAGTACTCATAGAGGCCACTTTCAGTTTTGCTCTGTTGTAAAAACCTGTTTAATTGCAGCTGAAAAATCCCAGCAGGAGAGGTTGCGGAAGCCGGGCGAGAGGAGGAGTGGAGTTAGCCACAAATCTGCCCTCTAGAAACCCCTCCACTTACTGTAACAGGAAAGGCTGAAGAATTCTGTTGTAACTTCCTTCCAGAAAACAAGTTCTTTGGAATCATTCTCTGAGGGTCTATGGTCTATTTTCAGATGTATTGGATTTAGCAACTTATTTTGAAATTCTTCAAAGTTTTTCTCCCCAGGCATCTTTTGGCTAAGCCGGTATTTTCTATAACAAAATTTTCGTTGTTGGGTTTTTGTTTTGGTTTTTACACCAACTGGTTCTTTTTGAAAGGGTGATATTAAAATATATCATTTTTAAAATATATCACAGAGTCATTTGTTTGAAAGTGGATTCTCCTCACTTAATTTCACATTCTGCTGTGGCATGACACCCGGCATCTGGGATTTTAGGATTCAAAGGAATCATAAAAAATGGAAGAAAAACGGAAGTAGATGCAGATTAAACCAGCCTTCATCGATGCTTCCGAAAAGAAACAACTTTTATTCTGAATCAGGGGTAAGCGGCACAGTCACCTGAAGCTGTTTCAAGTCACAATTATATTGTTCTCTCTCCTTTGAAGCACTGAACCTTTTTTTCTAAATACAACTTCAAGTCATTTGAAAGCAAATAATAATACTAAAGATCAAGCATCAGAAACAAATTCTCCACCCACCCTTTCATTTTTAGATTCCCAACATCCTGATATGTTCCATTTCATTTCTTTCATGGTTTAACTTCTTGGCAATTTTCCCAAACTTTATGAAAATTTAAACTATGACAAGGAGAAATGCACTCCAAACATAACACAAATAGACACAAATACAAGAAAAAAGTTCAAAACACAACACCGTATTGCAGTATCTCCAAACATGACGTGTATGTGACATGACCAAAAGCTACATGGCCCTGGGTCTCAACAGTCCCACTATGCTACACAGATCTACATTCAGAACTTTTTCTTCTTTTTTCTTTGATGCCTAAAGTAACTGAGAAACAAGAAAATAACCAATATAACATTAAAAAAAAAAAAAAAAACATGGTACCTATGTTTTTTTAAGTCTTGAACACCTCTTCCTTCGTTGGTGCAATATTACTCTTGATAAATGCTCAAATAACACTAGGCAAGCAACACACACGAAAAGACTTACTATGTTATCATACAAGCAGTGTTTTTGGAATCATAAATAACTCCTACAGTAACATAAAACACCTACAAATTAAATCTTAAGTCACCTCGGTATAAAGTGAATTAAATTCTCCTGTATCTTAGTCAGAATGCCAGTATCAGAAGCATTCTACATGTTCTCAGTTTCTGTTTCACAGGAAGGGTAAGGTGCTTTTTTAATAAGCTGCCGACAGACACACACACACACACACACACACACACACACACAACCAGTGCAAACTATCAAGAGGAAAAACATCCTAATTTTGCAATGAGACAGGATTACACATCTCGACTCAAAGCCCAGAAGTGGACAGAATAATCTCCCAGGATTGATGTGCTGTAAATACAGACAACTCAGCGTACATACGGTCGATAGGTTTCTATGCTTTGTGTTTTAAATTCCACCCCAATTTCTAGGATTGCTTCCAACTCTTAAAAAAAAAAAAACAAAAACAAAAAAACCCAGCTAAGGTATCTTCCTATTTTTGAAGCTACCCAGAAGACCCCGAACATTCTGAGCATCAGCTACTGGACGCTAATTATCCACTGGTGCTACATCTGCCGTGTTTTCTTCTTTGCTACTGAACCTAACGCCCTAGTGCTATTTCGTTTCATGCAGCACCAACCAAACTGCATTGTTTCCCTAATAAAAAATAAATACATAAAGAAGACGCTGCCAGGCATATATTCACAAGGTCTCAAATTTCTCAAAACATAAGCGTGGGTATATTTATTTCTCTCAAATGCATACAAGACAATAATTACACAGCAACAAATCTTTTGTTCAACAATGATTTGATTCATAAGCGTCTGAATTTACATAATTTCACATCCATACCCTTGCATTTTTAAATACTGTAAGTAAAAAAGCCCCCCAAATAACCAATTCTTATATTTCCTATTTATCCCTCTGTACATCCAAACTTTAAAAAGTTACAAACTCAACATTATACAGAACATATAAATCATGTTTAAAAACTTGAGGTTTTAAAATCACCATTCCCCAAAATGATTCGGAAAGTCCTCATGCTGACAAGTGCAGTCCTAGGTGGTAGGCTGGAAAGGGGCAAGAAAGAAGAGGCAGACACCAGTTTGCTGTCTTAATGTTTTACTAATCCTGTCAGTAAAAATGGCGACGTCATGAGAAGTAACAGTTTAGGCTTTAATACGAAGAATGGGGTTTGCCTCACAGCTGGAGACACGCGCTTCAAGTATTTTCCTATTTGATCTGAGCTCCCTGTAGCAAACCGTGCTGAGAGAGAAGAACTACTTTCTTCCGTACATCCGCTCAATGTCCGCCTGGTAATGTGTTTTAAGCTCTTTGCGTTTCAGCTTGAAGGCGTCTGTCACCAGGCCGGTTTCGGGGGTCCACGGTTCAGGGCTCAAACGAATTTTTACTGGAATTTCAAATTTTTCTAGACTTGCTGGGATGGTGGAAAAGAAAAAAATAAAACATAAATGCAAAGGCATGAAAAATGTGCAATTATGATTCTTAGTGAACAGTGTAACTCCCCCAATCTTTGGTGAACACCCAACATCCCACGAACCTCGCTCGTGATAATCCATGCCTCAAAAAAGGCTAGGAGAAGTACAAAGAAACAAATAAACAAAAAAATAGATACGTATGAGAACTGTAATAGCAAAAAGCCATTTAAAAAATCTACCTGACCGCCAACAGAATGAGTTGGATTAAGTTAAGATACAGGCACATAGGGCGCCCGGGTGGCTCAGTCAGTTAACCGTCGGATTTCGGCTCAGGTCAGGATCTCACAACTCACAATCATGAGATCGAGCCCCACGTCAAAAACAAAAACAAAAACAAAAAATGGAATATCATAGGCATAAAATGGAATATAATTCAGTCATTAAAAATGAGTTAGATCTATCTGGCATGGGTATGTAACGATATGAGCAATATATCGTTAGGCTAAAAATAGGTAGTTTTTTTTAATACTAGACAAATGTTACACAGGTAGATATTCAGGACGAGAAGGATACACACCAAACCATAAAACGGACACCTCTGGGGCCTAACATGGAGGATTAAGGAAAAAAGCAAATGTCACACACCTATTTGTTTCGAGTTTACTGTAAAGAGCATAATCACTTTAACTAATAAAGTTTAAAGAGGACCCTGTCATTGAACCTTGTCAGCATATTCAGCAGAAGCTATGACGACACAATGTTTGCTCGCTATCGTGTTCCTAACACACTGTTGGATACCCAGGAGATTCTCAATAGCAGAGGGCTGGAGAGGGAGAGAGGGATGGGAAAGGAAAGCGAGGGATGGGGACAGGGAGGGAAAACAGGGAGATGTCGTTTTGAAGGAATATGTTTCTTTAATAAGAAGGGTTTATTTTTCAGCATTCATTCAACAAATAAATATCCATTGAAAAAATACCGCGTAGAGCGCTTTACTAAGCACTCTTTAAAAAATACAAAAAACGGGGTGCGTGGGTGGCTCAGTCAGTTAAGCATCCGACTTCTGTTCAGTTCATGATCTTGCAGTTTGTGGGTCGGGCTCTGTGCTAACAGCTCAGGTCACGATCTCACAGTTCATGGGTTGGAGCCCCGTGTAGGGTTCTGTGCCGACAGCTCGGAGCCTGGAGCCTGCTTCAGATTCTGTGTCTCCCCCTCTCTCTGCCCCTGCCCTGCTCATGCTCTGTCTCTGTCTCTCAATAATAAATAAACGTTGAAAAAAAAAATTTTTTTTTAATACAAAGATAGTTTCTGTTCTCAAGTGGTATTACAATCTAACAAGGATAAAGAGGTAAACAGGTAAATACACGCTTACTCGCTCACTAAACTGAAGACGGGTAAGTGCCTTGGGAGCAAAAGAGATATTCATTTTAACTTGTAAACATAAACACTGACATACCAAGGTTTTCTTCTCGGAAGATTACAACTATTTCAGGAGTGGTACAATAGGAGAAGCTGGGTAGGATTCAGTAGGCAGAGAAGGAAAGATTAGGACCTGAGGTCCCCCGGTAGGGAAGAAAACACATCTTCTGGAACAATGTTGGGAGTGTCTGACCACAGCAAACCCCCTCAGGCGTTAAGGTTCCGCTTAAGAATGTAACAGACCCCACCGGCTCCCCCTCAGGTTCCCCTCAGGAATCTGACTCAAGACCTGACTAAAAAGTAAGTCGCAGACTTACTTTTAGGTGTGACCCGTAAGGAAAAGATGTGCCCACAGACCACCCCTCACACAGTGGAATCGGGCCAATCAGAACTGGACAACGCAGCACCTGGACTTATCCAGCCAGCAAGGGTAGGACCTGAGAGGGGGGGCGGTGACCGGAACCTTACAAAACCAGGACCCTCGCCTACAGTCGCGGCCATTCACTTTCCAATGTCCTCTCTGTAAAGGCGGCTTTCCTACCATTCTTCCTTTCTGATCTTACCCCAGTCAACTTCCTCCTGCTGCTCATTCAGTGCCCACTTCTTCATTCTTCAAAGCAGCGGGACAACGAACCTCGGGCATTGAGGTGAAAGTCCTACAACAGTGGGGCACTTGGGTGGCTCAGTCAGTTAAGTGTCCGACTCTTAATTTCAGCTTAGGTCATGATCTCGCAGTTTGAGTTCAAGCCCCACATCAGGCTCTGCGCTAACAGGGCAGAACCTGCCTGGGGTTCTCTCTCCCTCTCTCTCTGTCCCTCCTCTGCTCTCTCTCTCTCTCTCTCTCTCTCTGTCAAAATGAATAAATAAACTTAAAAAA